TCTGTCCACTGGGCCACTGCGTGGGAGAATGAATCAAAGGCACATGGGAACAGCAAAGGAGGGGACGGGGGAGTGGTCACGTTTAAAAGTCAAGATACATGTTTAGAGCAGTGGTTCTCAACCTTCCTCCTGCCACGACCCTTTCATACAGTTCCTCATGTTGGGGTGAACCTTCACAACCATAACATTATTTTCATCGCTACTTCATAACTACAATTTTGCTACGGTTATGAATCTGGCGACCCCTGTGAAAGGGTCGTTTGACCCCCAAAGGGGTCCAGACCCACAGGTTGAGAACTGCTGGTTTAGAGTCTTGAAAAATGACAGCTTGCAAGTTTCTTGTCGTACTATCATGCTCAGTCTTCATTTGGGTTTCAGTGATTTCTCTCGGTTACCTTGCCCTTGCTGAATCCTTACCAGGCCTCTCACACCCTCCTTGCCACTGGTTTTGGATCACTTGTTGCTCCCCTGTCCCTGGGTTGGTCAGCACCACCGCCTTACCCCCGCCTCCTCTTCTCCCCTCAGTTTGCAAGTTATATAGAGATATAAAGGGAGAATGTGGCTTAAAAATGCACTCTGGTTTCTTCTGGGGAAAAATTGCCCGAGACAAGTTTAGTCTTTGAAAGTAAAGGAGACAAATCGGCGACTGAGCCTCGGCGGTGGTGGCCGAAGCGGCGAAGGCGGCAGCGGTGGCGACAGCTCTGGGGTTTGCGTCTCGGGGTGTGTCGGCCGCCGCTGCTGCTCCGGCCTGGTATGTACAAATGGCTGGTTAGAATTCTCGGCACCATTTTCCGTTTCTGTGACCGGCCGGTGCCCCCTGCCCGGGCCCTCCTGAAGAGGCGGCGCTCCAACAGGTGAGACGAGGTGGGGCCGTGGGCCGGCGGGCCTGGCTGTCCCGGCTGTCCCCCGACCCCGGGCTCCCCGCAGCGTTCGCGCTGCCCCAGTCCCGCGGGGGCTGCCCAGCCGAACCGGCCGTTGGGCAGAGTCCGAGGAGGTGCGGCTCGCGGGGCTCCTGGTGACGTAGCAACCACTCCCTCCATTCTGGGAGGGTGCCGCTCCCGGTGCAGGAAGGAGCCCCCGGGACACGGGGTCTGTGGGGAGGCTGTTGACAGTAGGCATATTAATGCTGTCAGACTCCAAGTTGGTGGCTGACAGCGCGTCGGACTTTGCGGTCTTTTTGTTTCCTTTTTGCTGAAACACTAAACGTTGAAAGAAAACGGACTTCGTTATGGCTCACTGTTTTACAAAGCCCATTCCCCAGTGGCATCTCCGAGCAGGAAGGGCAGTTAGAGAGAAGTGTGATTCCAGGAGACAGCGGCTGGCTTATTCTGATACAGCTGTCAAACACTGTGTGTTTGGTATAGGGGGCCTGGGGGTGGGTGAGGGGTGGAGTGAGGTTCCTTGCTTTAGAATTAGCGAGAGACGAGCCATTAAAAATGATACCTCGTCTGTGTTTGAAAATTTGTCAAGAATTAAAAGCTGTTATTACTTAGCATCTAACCCCTTAGTCTGTCCCATTTTTACTCATCATCTAATAATTGTCTAGAGGGCAAAATGTATAACTTTTATCCCCCCCCCCAACTCCAATTTCGATGATGATGTGCTAAGTCCCGTTTTTAAGCCTCAGGATCCCAAAGGAGGTGGAGGAAAAGTTGGTTTTTGAGAGGTAAGAGAGCAAGCTGATTAATGCCCAAGAATGCAGGGCAATGATGAGATTGGTATTGCTGTGAGGATCATTTAGGATCGTCTTGTAAATAAATGCACAGCACCATGCTTGCTATGACGCCCTGGATCGTCTGTAGTGCTTAGAGTAGAATTGACACAGAGGAGCTAAAGAAGGAGGGCATGTTCACTGCCTCTCCCCTTTGCTTGCTTCCTTCTGTGAATGCCTGTGAGTCAGGTAAAGGGGCTTGAAGATCAAAACCCTGATCTTTACTACACTTTAGGACTCACACCCTTAATGTTCCCCAAAGTCGGCGAAATTGCTCCCTTTGGGGGGCGCTGAAACAAGCAGGTAATTTACACTTTAGCCTGTAATATGGGCTGTAGTACAAACGTTTTTTTTCTTCAAGAACATTTACATATTGCTTTAATTAGACTAATCTAATTAAACAACTCTTCTTGATATGACTGAATTATTGAATTTTATGACATGAATGAAGTGCTAATAAAACTCATAAAGATTTCTTGGAAGCCATGAAAAGGTCATAAAACAAAGGTAGGTATTTTGTTAATATCTACTAAAAACTACTCATTTCAAGTTAATATGACTAGTAACTTATCCCCAGGCAAGACTCTATTTAAAACAAAATCTATTTAAATTTATTTGTGGCAGTTTCATAGCTTTTTTTTTTAAGATCATTTTTGGGGCCTTTTATAACAATCCAAACATCAATTGTATCAAGCATATTTGTACATATGTTGCCATCAATCAAAGCTCTTTCTTAATCTGAAACACCGTTTCTAACTACATAACATTTTAAGCTGTCTGTATATGAGTTCAAAAATTCCTTTCCTGCCACAGATAAAGGTCTGTTTTTTAGAGCTGGTTAATGGGTTGAATATAAACAGCACCATGAAACTTTATCTTTAACTGGTATTTAACACATTCGGGCCACAAATAAATTTAAATAAATTTGTTTTAAATAGTCCTGCATGGGGACAAGTTAATAGTCATATGAACTTGAAATGAATAGTTTTTAGTAGATATTTACAAAATATCTACCCTTGTTTTATGACCTTTTCATGACTTCCAATTTTTTTTTTAGTTTTTACTTTCTTTTAAAAAAAGTCATTTTAACGCATGGGTTTGGATTTATGGCAGGCCCTGCCCGTGGACCTCTCATAGTGTCCCATGCCAGAGTAAACTGG